ATTTATATTGTGGATTGAGGTAATCCACTGGTGGCAGCGAGAGGAAAACATGACGTGAGCCTTTGTGAGGGCAAAACACGCAGGTGCCACAAGGGTGAACGCCACACAGCTGTTGCCTGAGGCCTGTTTCTTGTGCATTACACAATTGCAGAAGGACAATCGTGTAACCAGTCTCCCCTCCTCAGTCCAGCCAACTCTCCTTTGCATGCCCATTCATTCATTCATTCATTCATTCATTCATTCATTTATATCCCACCTATCTGGTCGGTTAGGACCACTCTAGGTGGCTAACAGCATAAAAATAGGACAATATAAAACAATTTTACATAAAGATAGACATTTCAAAAACTGGGAGCAAACAATGGGGAAGGGAGAAAGAAGGGCATCAGGGATTGACTGGAGGGAAGGCCTGCCGAAACATCCATTTATTATGAGACAGGGTTGTGCAACTGTTTGCCTGATCAGTTATGTGACAGGTGTATCTGTCAAAGCAAGGGAATGCTTACACAATTTCCCACACATTCTGAACTGGATACTGGCCTATATATCCCAGCACACAACCCTTGGTTTAATTTGATACCTACATATATGTAGTTCACTTTCATTCAGCATGTAATCTCATAACTTGAAGTTAGTCTGCCTGCACAACAACAACATACTGACAGGTTTTTAGAGCTTTTCGTCCTTCTCTAATCCCCCCCAGCCCCAGTGTGCTGAATTGTTTTGGCAAAAGCCAGCAGACTTTTCTGACATTCTGTTCAGTCTTATTAACAGTGTTATCCAACTATGTCTTTTATTTCCAGTTCTGAGTTTCTTCCCTTTTATGACTTAATAGCACTTAATAATGGCATGGTTTGTATAACTTTGACTTAAAGGTGCCACATAACATTTTGTTGCTTTGGCTGCAACATTCTAACATAGCTCCCAATTTTGAAACTTCTGTTTTAGTATTCCTTGCAGTCATGTCAGAATGCCAGATGGTGCTATTTATTGCTGGCTCTTTAGCACATCAGTCTCAGGGTTCACAAGCCAGTGAGCTACAGGTCTTCATTGCTATGCAACAATTTAGCCTAGGAAGAGTTTAGGATAAAATTATTATAATTTGGTCTGGAATTTTCTCAGAATCATTTTTTAATTTAACTATGTGGCAGCTGGGTCAAGGTAACAGAAATTTAGCACAGAGTACAGAGAACTTCCAATTGCCACTCTATGGTTAACCACACTGTGACCTACTTTATGCTGCATGCTTTTCCCAATGATCACAGATCCGACAGTAAGTGTCCACATATTGCCCTCTGGATGCACAAGCAGTGATTTTGAACATATTCACAATAAGATTCACTTGATATCATTATTATAAAAATCTGAAAACTCACATTAACATTTTCTGTCACGTTATATGTATACATAACAGCTATTTTTTCCTGCAGTGAGGAGGAGGATTATAGGTGCATGAGTAGGATCCTTTGAAAAGCCACATTATTTAATTTTATTTATATGAATAGTTTCCATCTTGCCTTTGTAGATCAAAGCATCATAATGATGGCTCATAGGAAAGAATTATTATATTACAAATCATAAAATACAAGATAACGGCCAAAATCCTATTGAGCAGTTATGCAAATGGCATAACTTTTGGAAGTGAACTGCAGCTATGTTAAGAAAAATCTGTTGCACACTAAGTTGCATGATGGCTCCTCTGGAGATTTCTATATTATGTATTAGAAGAGGCCAAACCACAGGTCTTTACTTGGGTTTCTGTGTTTCAACCCCCTACCCTGCACTGCAAACAGAAAACTGCTGCCAACTAACAAGCAAAAAATAAAAGAAAAAAACAGAAAAATAAGACAAAAATTGGCATGGATAAACTCCCCACTTTCTGTTTTTGAGTCAGATGTTAAAAAAAAAAACCAAAAGACACAGTTTGTTATCCCCGGCTCCTTTTGTTATTTTATTTTTAGCTACATACCAATACAAGCTCTTTATATTTTTATTTATTTATTTATTTATTTAATTAGTTAGTTAGTTAGCTAGTTAGCTAGTTAGCTAGTTAGCTAGTTAGCTAGTTAGCTAGTTAGGACCACTCTAGGCGGCGAACAGCATAAAAATAGGACAATAAATATATACTGTATAAAACAATTTTACATAAAGATAGACATTTCAAAAACTGGGAGCAAACAATGGGGAAGGGAGAAAGAAGGGCATCAGGGATTGACTGGAGGGAAGGCCTGCCGAAACATCCATTAATTATGAGACTGGGTTGTGCAACTGTTTGCCTGATCAGTTATGTGACAAGTGTATCTGTCAAAACAAGGGAATGCTTACACAATTTCCCACACATTCTGAACTGGATACTGAGTGCTCAGTTCTGTATGTCCCATAGTTTCTTTAACAGTTCTTCTATCGTCGGAACCTCTTCTGTTTTCCATTTTTGGGCCCAGAGTAATCTAGCTGCTGTGAGTATATACATGAGACAATGCTTCAATTTATTATCATTTACTCCTGAAATGACATTCAATAATGCCATTTCAGGTTTTATATCTAACTTCTACTGAGTAATTTCTTTTGCTAGATCCCATACCTGTGTCCAATAAATTTTGACCTTTTCACATGTCCCCCACATATGATAAGTTCCTGCATTTTTTTTACACTTCCAACATACATTGCTGTTACCCTCTGACATTTTTGCTAATCTTACAGGCATATAATGCCATCTGTAGAACATTTTGAGTATGTTTTCTCTTAAATTTACTGGTTTAAACATCTTATAGCTTTCTTTCCACATCTTAGTCCAATCATCAAGGTCCTCTGGAGATTTCTTAACTTATGGCAAATTGCTTCCAAAAGTTATACTTTCTGCATAACTGTACAACAGGATTTCATCCAATAAATATTAATCAAAACAGTGAAAAAAAGCACCAGTACGTTAAAGCAAATTTATAAGAATGCCTACAGGAATTAAATCTAAGATCTGTGTTAGCAACGGGACTCTGCTTGAAATTTTACTGCCAATCAAACACAATAGGGGTGGAAAACCCTTATCTCCAGCTATGTGTGAGATGGAAAGTAATGTATTACAGGGAGTATGAAGATATGTGTGGGTAGACCATGGATGCTAGAACAGACTGAACTCTGACAGAAACTCAGAGAATGAATTCCATTACTCTGCTGTATTTTCATTTATTCAAATGCTCTTACTCTGAGACATCGACTTGTGGTTTTCTACTTCTTCCATATGTACAGTAGATGACAGTGCAAATTAGATTTTTAATAAACAACAAGTATCATTGCCTGTTACTTTATTTTCATTTCCAAAGATTTTTCCTGCAACTTTTGTCATATCAACCACTATCTCTGCTAGTTCTGATATTCTAATTACAGTACTAGAGTTTTATTGCTCAGTCTCAGGTTAGGTTGTCCTTTTTTTGCCACATTAAGCCAAAAAAGATACACATGCATAATATTCTGGAATCCAGATTGATTGATTGATTGATTGATTGATTGATTGATTGATTGATTGATTGATTGATTGATTGATTGACTGATTGATTCATTGATTCATTGAGTCATTCATTCCCCACCCATCTAGACCAAAGTCTACTCTGGGTGGCTAGTAACAATAGATAAAATAAAAACAATACAATACAATAAATAAAACAACAGTAGTAATATAGCTCAAGATGGGAAAAATATTCAAGTGATGATGACAGGAAGGAAATCCTGCCTAAAGAACCAGGTCTTAAGTTTCCTCTTGAAAACACCCAGCGAGGGAGCCAGAGAGATCTCTACTGTTCCAAAGGCGAGGGGCCTCTGCTGAGAAGGCACAGTTTCTTTTTCTTTCTCTCTGGGCCTCCCTTGGTGTTAGGCCCCTCAGCTGCCCCTCCTGGCTAGAACGAGTGATTCGGGCAGATCTAGGTGGGAGGAGGCGTTCCGCTAGATCTCGAGGTTCTAAACCATTTAGGGCTTTATATGTCATCATTAACACTTTGGAATCAATACGGAAACAAACGGGCAGCCAGAGTGGGGGAAATATGCTGATATTTTCTCGTCCCACTGAGAAGTCTGGCTGCCACATTCTGCATTATTTGAAGCTTCTGCATCAATCTCAAAGGTAGCCACACGTAGAGCGTGTTACAGTAGTCTAATCTCGAGACTGCTACAAGCGCATGGACCAGAGTGGTGAGTGCTCCAACATCAAGATAGGGACGCAGCTCAGCTATCTGCCACAGATGGAAATAGGCAGAGCGGACCAGTGATGCCACCTGGGTTTCCATGGTGAGAGTCAGATCCAGATGGACCCCTAAGCTGCAAACCTTCACAGTGAGAGTCACTCCCCCAAAAGAGAGGGAGTTTCCGAATACACCAACAGAGGGACCACCTACTCTCCGAACCTCCTTCTTGTCTAGGTTCAGCCTCAGTCCATACTCCTGCATCCATTGCAGTACAGCCTCCAGGCAGCATTGAAGGGATGGAACGGTATCCAGTGTGGTTGGAAAAAAGGAGATGTAGAGCTGGGTGTCATCAGCATACTGATGGCACAAAGCCCCACACCCCCTGATGACCCCACTCAGCAGCCTCATGTAGATATTAAACAGCATTGGGGAGATAATCGAGCCCTGCGGAACCCCACAATTGAAGCTCCATGGGGCCAAAATACTCTCCCCAAGCTGTACTCTCTGAGGGCGGCCCTCCAAGAAGGATCGGAGCCAGGCGCGCACCAGACCACCAATGCCCAGCTCAGAGAGCCTCCCCAGGAGGATACCGTGGTTGATGGTATCGAAGGTGGCTGAGCTATCGAAGAGGACCAACAAAGACATTTTGCCCCTGTCGGCCTCCCTCAATAGGTCATCACACAGGGCGACCAATGCCATTTCCGTACTGTGGCACGGCCTGAAGCCTGACTGGAATGGATCCAGGGCATTGGTGTCATCCAAAAGAGCCTGGAGCTGGTCAGACACCACCCTCTCTACCATTTTGCTAAGGAAAGAAACATTGGCGATGGGCCTATAATTGATAAGAACAGTCTGGGTAAAATGAAATAACAGTCTGGCTAAACTGCAAACAAAACCTTGCATGGCATAAACACAAACCCTCAAATTGATAGATTTTTGGTAGAAGGGCAGATCCATATTATTAGAAGACCTTATCTAATAGGTATGGATTTTTTCTTCTTGTTTGGGAATTGCCAACTGTACATGTATGCTGTATACTGGAGTTCAGGTATAGCCATCTTGTCACAGGTGTTCAGTGTCTCATTGTCTAAACCCTCTTTAAGCATGTAACCCATGATTTTAACAGACCCTGACTGGAAAGGCTTCATATGTTTGTCTTTAATTTTTGTCCCATCAGTTTCCTTTAAGAGGCATGTCTCCATCAGTTCCTTCTGTCTCTTCCGAAGAAACTCAACTTCTTTGTACAAAGTCTTGAGATCCATCCTCTCCTGAATCTTATTCCAGAAAGTGTTGTTGAAGTGCACATAAAGCATCCAATCTAAAGCACACCACTCTTTCACTTTTTCCTTGCTTTCTGGGTTCATTGTCTGTACAGTGTCTAGACTCCTGGCATTCATCTTGAAATAAACCACATCATCCAGATCCCAGCATAAAATATCCTTTAGAAGGATCATGGACTCATCAAAGTAATCAGCAATCAAAATCAAATTGAAGTTCTGTTCAACGTCTTGTATCACAGACTGGACATAGTGCTCTTCATATACTGCATTGTTGTCATAGCCAAAGTCAAACCACATGTTATTCTTGGCATATATGTTCCAGCGTCGCTCACTTAGATTATAGTAATTCCACGGAGATGAAAGAAATTCATTCACATTCTTGGACTTTCTAAATGCTGGTGTAACCGATTTGTAGTAAACATAGGAAGATTCTAACAATGAAGCTGGGTGCCTCAGAATAGAAAAATAGAAGGTATCTCTTGGCATTACTCTTTTTACCTTAAAAAAAACACAAATATATATTTGGTTCAGTGAAAAGTAAAGAATTTCTGTAGTCTAAAATTAAGACAGCTGATATAATACATTGTTTGCAGAGCTCAGGGCCTGACTACGCAGGGAAAAGATGTAGGAAATAATGTGAGTTTCAGGGGGCTGATTCAACTCTTTTCCCATTGAGTAACATGATGCAAATCAATCTGGCATCCCACACACCCAATCCTTAGTTTTTCCTCTCCACCAGAAACTCTTCTACTTTTAAAAAAGTTGAATCCTTTTACTTTGGTTCAAAGCATGTGAAACAATGTACAAATCCAGTAAATCTCTAAAATCTGAGAATCAGCTCCACAAGGTTACCGTTACCGAAACTGAAAAAGCACGCTTTGTGCCTTTTCAGTTTCGCATTGCTGGACTGGAATATGTACAAATTCTTTCAGAATGACAGCTGACAATCCTTAATTTCGCTTTCAACTAAATATCATTCTAGACTTCTTGAAAAAAATGATTCAGTAATATATGACTAATGAATCCATACGAAACCAAAGAGACCAAATACCAGATGAATACATTCAAAACAGAGATAATGAAGGGAGGGATAATCCCCATACTTTGCACACAACTAAAAAGAAAAAAGAAGCATGATTCTAACAAACTCAATGAAATAATACAAAGGAAATATTTATCTCTAATCCGCTGGTAAACAGGCTGGATAATATCAAGGACAGATATACTGTACTTAGTTGCTAAACTCCAAGCAAGATCTTACAGAGGACTGTGATTACCATTTTACAAACATACAGTTGAGTAGTACAGCTGTCTTCTATTTAACAATATACTAAAAGTTATTTAAAATAATAGAGAAACATTTGGTGCAAATAAATTCAGTAGAAAGAAATCATAATCAAAGATAACAACTAACTTTGCAACAATAGTTACAAAAACACTGATTAATCTGTTTGGTCATTCAAACCAGTTGGAGACATGATGTTTAAACTATGGATGCAAAATGCCTCATATTGTGCAGATAACAATCCCAAGAACAATCTTTTATCCTCAATAGACCAAATTTTCCAACGGCACAGAACAGAAAATAGGAGGGTCAGTGTGAATTTTTCAAAAATATGCTGAGTTAATAGAGCCTCCAAAACGTCATTACATATCTTAGGTTTATGCTCTGTTAATGTAATTTTCAAAGTTCTTGTAGTTGAATGCACACAAAGTTTGTTAGATGATATTAGGTGTCTAATGATATATATCATGAATGTGGAATTATGATTAGAAAAAGATCTGAATGTAAATTTCTTATTGCTCTCAGGATGGACTGTCTCCTGGGATACTGGACACTGTGCATGACAAGAACATTGTCCACTTTTGCACAAACTCAGGGGAAGCAGAGTGGCTCCAATACTGAGGCAAAATGTAGCACAAGCCATTATTAGAGGATATAATATAAGATCGGGTTGCAAAAGAACTCCCATATATATATGGGGGGCAATGCTGAAAGAGTCTATAATTATGTTTCTAGAAACTCGAGGCTGACTGAAAGGGTAATTCACGTTGACTCTAGGAATATGTGGGTAACCATTTGTTGGTAACCCTTAGGTAGCAAAATTTCTTGGACTGCTCCTCAGTCAACCCTATGCTGAGTCACAGGTCCTGTTGAGGCATTTTGGTTGCTCTCACTTTATTTACTTCTGTACATCCCCTTACATAAAGAGTTCCCCAGGTACACAGAAACAGATTCCAAATTTTGGATGGCTTTACTTCACTTCCAGAGTGGCAGTCACTCAGCTACCTAGGTTAGTTGTTAGAAGGAACAAATAACAGCCTTTCCTGGACTGTAAAATTCAGATTGCCATAGCAAAGAAGGATCACATGCTACAGGCTTTTGTGCATGTAAAATTCCCTACCTGTGGAAAGCTAGCCTGCCAGAAAAGAGAAATTCCAGCCCAAAGGTGGCAAATCTTTAACACTCTGGTTGTTTTTAGGCTACAACTCCCAGATTTCCCAGCCTGTAGTGCCTACGATAAAGGATTATGAGGGATGTAGTCCAGCAATTTAGAATGCCAAAGGTTCACTATTCTATTCCCTCCTCTTTCCCTAGCATACTAGTATTTTCTTTGTGGTAGGAGATTACATGGGGAGGGCAAGAGTATGGGAGAAATGTGGAGCAGCAAAGCTGTAAAGCAGTGCATTAACATAGTTCGTGCACATAGCAATTGCCACTACAGCACAATGTGTTTGTCTGTGCACATTAAAATGATAATATTTGTCTATGAACAAATAAATAATAATAATAAATAATTAAATAATTAAATAAATTAATAATAAGTTTACTTTCACACAATAAATAATAATCATGTTCCATCAAGTCAATTCTGACCCATGGCAAGTCAGGTTTTCTAGGTAGAGACTACTCAGAAGGGATTTACCATTCTCTTTTTTCAGGGGTATCGTGAGACTGTACAGCTTGCCCAAAGCCACACAGGCTGGCTCTACTCATAGGAGGTACAGTGGGGAATCAAACTACCAACCTCTATCTCTGCAGCCAATTACCTCAACCATTGAACAAATAAAATAATAAAGAAATATGTCCAGTAGGTGCCTGAGGAAGAGGGTTGTAATTCACAAAAGCTCACACTGAAGTGAGAGCCTGTTCAGATGGGGAAAGTTGGCCTGGTTGTGCTTGTCTTTAGTGCAATCTATTTTATCTGTTACCTGAGCGATCCTTCCATTCACATTGGAGATGTTTGTTCTCCTATGAGAAGGGCCCAGGTAGGTCTTTGGTTCACCAATTTATTCACAAGTAAACTTCTCCAGGTTTACTTGTGAGCAGGGAGGCAACAGTGGTGGCATGACAAGCTTCTAGCAGTGGTACCAGCACAAAAGAAAAACGTTGACGTGAATGTTGTGGAGACGAGGCAGGTGGACCTCCCCGTTTTTCCTGCCTTTCTCCTCAGCCAAGGTTCTGCTGGGACTGTGCTGCCTTGGGGGATTAGAGTCTGAGCAGGCAACTCAGTTGTATTCTTCAGAATGGAGGCTGTCAAGGAAATCCAGTCTCCAATCCAGCTGGTTTTCCCAGAAATTGCATTTATTTATTTTCCACACATCTCTTCCCCCATAAGCAACCAATAAGCCAAAAATAATTTGGGGTGGGAGAGAGGAAGAGATTCTGTCATTTGTTGATGAATTTGGGGAGGTGAGGAGTTGATATAGTCCCACTCCCTGCCTTTCCCCGTGGCTCTCATTCAGCAGTAACTACAATAACTTTCCTTTTTTTCCCTTTTTCCTTTTTTTTTTTGGTTAAACAAAGCAAGTGACATAGCAAAATAGCAATGCATCTAGCTAGCATAATAATACTGCCAATGTATCTCATTTATCTAGAATAATGTTGTATCAATAGGGAAATGTTTTTTAAAAAATTAAGTGGTAGAGAAAATGAAAATATTGGAGGGGGTTTCCAATCATCCATTAAAATATCAAAACCCACTGAGTAGTTCACAAGGTTGTCACCTCAGATAACACTGCCCACAGCTGCATTCAGGTGCAAATTAACCATCCACACAGGCTACACAAGAGGATAATTAGGAGTACACTGAATCATGTAAAAAAACAAAAACAAACAGAAGCCCTCACATTGTGCCAGAAAGGAGCAGGACAGGTCTGAAAAGGAGTGGGGTGGATTGTTCCAAATCAAAACACATGTTGTCCTTGTAATTTGATTTGAATCAAATTGCACCCAAACCGATCCAAATGGTAAGCTATATATCCATCTAGAAAGGTTCTAAATCTCTTAGTCTTCGTGGCCACAATTATTTTGATTTTATTTTTGTTATACATGATGAAACAGACTAACATGGCTATCTTTTGGGGGAAAAAAAAGAAGTGTAGGATTCTGGATGGAGAAAAGAACTCCCCCTTCCCTTCCCGTGCAGGCACCAATGGTGAGCAGATACAAACACATTATTCGCCACATATATTCTAGAATGGTACAGTACAGGAAGAGCTGAACCAACGTGATATTGATGTAATTTTCTTCGAAACTGGTAAACACTCAAAAAATAGAATGTTGGCTGTATATGTACACTGGTTAAGTGCAGGCACAATATAAGTTACGTGTAGTCAGGCATGCAGAATTAACATATCTCATTCTTGTTAAATCTATGCAGAAATGCATCTGAAGTATTAGTCTGCTCAGTTTTGCAGACCTGAACTGTAGTACAACACCAACTGACAACACCAGAGTGGTGAGGAAGCAATAATGATTGCACAGGACCCCAGTTCTGCACTCACCTCAAGTGCTTTAAATCTCAGATGATTGCACATGATGCTGAAGTTTGGGCCAATAGTCTTGAACTCCTCAACATATGATGCCCTGAAAGAGTAGGGGTAGCCCAGGTGAACATCATTGTGACGTGGAAGAGCCACAGTGAGGTTGTGTTTCTCTGAGAAGCGGAAGAGGATGTTGAGGATAGTGCTGCTGGCAGTTTTGTGTGTTTTGAGGAACATGACATGAGTGGTAGGTTGACAGGTTTTGACAATAGTCCATGGCTTTCTACAGAAAATGCATAAGAAAAGGGAAGAGGATTATTGTTAGTGATCACATTTTCCATTTGATAATCTTACATTGCCTACTACTTCTGTATCTTCTGAAATAACTTGTTAAGGAAAGAATAAAGACACGGGTCGTGAATCTTTTCCAGCACTACCCATCTGGATTCTCCCTGCAGCAGTGGGCAAGATCTAGGGGTCCTGGAGGCAGAGCAGTAGGGTCTACTACAATTCTAGTGCCACTAAGTAGGTGCAGTATCCTATAATCTTCAAATTTTGTGCATATGAAAATGGGTGTTTAAATCTAAATTAACTGTTTCTGGTGCCCAACTCAGTTTATCTTGGCACAAAGTTACACAACAGGTTTCTCCCCCCAATGTTTTTAACTGTAATTTGTTTGTTTTTAAAACATTGACTATCTTTGTTGTTTACCTTCCTTGAGCATCAGAAAGATTGATATAAATATATTCAAATCAAATTAGTGTGATGAAAAAGAGAGAAACAGATTGCTTTGAGCAGATTAAAATATGAGCAAATTAATTTTAGCATAAGAAAACACTTAGAGAAACAAAAAAAAAAAGAAATTGTGAAGACAATAAAATAATAGTTTTTTTAAAAGAACACAGAAAATAATCTGTGGTGTATACATGGAAAAAACAACTACTTTTTCAGATATATATATATATATATTGGCTAACTAAGCAGCCTGAACACTATTATGGTCAACATGTATTATAAAAAAAGAATCCATGTGGATGGGAATAAGCTGAGCTCTTGCAGCTTTCATTGTGTGAGATGTTTTATCCATAACTGAAAAAAAACTCTAGACATTATATATTTTGTTGTTATTATTGTTGCAAATTGTACATGCATTTTAGAACCAGTTATGGATCACCTGTCAGTGACCAAGTGAGGATTTTTCTACAGCATCAAGAAATATTACCAGTGCACAGGACTGCATTATTTCAGGGTCAAATCTGATGATACAGTTAGCATGTCATTAGAAGCAGATCTCCTGTGAGACTCAAAGATTCCTGTTTATCCTAGCAGAAGCTTCTTCATCTCTTCCTCAGAAAGATCTATTTCCATCCTACTGCAAGTCTGTGGCTGGGTCTAAATTTTTCGCCCAGTTGGGGGCAGGAGGAGGAGTTCTTTGGATCCTATTAAGCCAGTGTCTCATTCACTCCATCCTCAGCATTCCCCAGTCCTCTATGGCAGTGGTCCCCAACCTTGGGCCTCTAGATGTTCTTGGACTGCAACTCCCAGAAGCCTTCACTACCACCTCTGCTGGCCAGGATTTCTGGGAGTCGAAGTCCCAGAACATCTGGAGGCCCAAGGTTGGGGACCAATGCTCTATGGCATCAAAGTAGTGAGTGGTACAGAGCCTCCTGGGGACATTGCAAGACCGTTGGAACTGAGATAAGACTTTCTCTGCTAAATTTGAAGGTCTGTCTCCAACTTTGGAGGGGGATTTCTCACACTGAACCGAGTAGTATAGGGAGTTAAGTTGATGTTCTGCATTCTTTGAATTATTGTCATATATTATTTTTTTTAGATAAAACTTTATTTTGGTCTAATGGAAATGGAATCCAGTGCAAAAAAGGAGGAACAGGTCTAATAGAGCATGGTCACAGGGGAGATTACCCTGGGTTGACCTGGGGTTCTCTGTGCCTTACCCTAGCATTCAAATAACTATTGTCATTCACACAGAAATGTTTAATTATCCCAAGAGGGTATGTTTCAAATGTCTGGATGTCACACAGTCTCCCTTCTCCTCTGCCATTATCAGTGCTCTTTTCTTTTGCCATCCATTAACTGCTTGCACTCATTGTGGCAGAAAACAGATATCCCAATGTTTCATAACATATACTTAGTGTTAAGGTAGTGTTTCATAACACATTACATATTAGTGTTAAGGTTGTGCAGTTGAGGAAATAAATATTCAGATGAATAGTGAGGAAAACAGTGCAGACAGTAGGATTAATACCTATCTAGTTGTTCTGTTAACCTTGCAATCCACCTTGTAATAACTTAAAATATTTTAGAACTGATTTAATTTTCTAACAGAGTCGCACTTTAGTGCAGCCATTTTGGGAAATTAACTCACGTGGCAGTCTTTTGCTGAACAAATCCTATCATTGTAACTATTCCCAGCCAAAGAGTGAACAATGCAAATGGTTTTATATACCTGCAAAAAAAAAAACAAAAGAAAAAAAAGATATGTTTTGATTTTCTAATATGATAGCGCTGATGTAACTCTTGGGCCATGTGTATACCACTGATTTTCATACAACATACAAGAATTTTGTATGTTGTAACTCATTTACCCCCACAACATAGTATTTATTTATTAAATTTCCTGTTTTCATGTAAAAATTGTGATACATATTTTACTGCTATAAATATACATACTGTTTATTGGCAGTTGCATTATTACAAGTAGAACTAATTAGATAACACAATTTGCTAGTGCAGTTCTTCAAGTATACACAATCCAGATAAAATAGCACATGACTCTTCTAAACTGGGGAATACTTCCCTCCATTTTCTCCCTTTCTTTCCCCCCCTCTTTTTTTGCCAGAAAGCATTGTGATGCTAATCAGGCTTTCTATTTACAAAGGGTACTTCTCCGCAAACAGCTTCTTTTCAGAAAAATCTTCATCTGGAAAAGTCCAGAGTAAGGCAAGGAAGATTGTGCCATCAGCGTTACCACTGTTGTGAATTACTGTCATGCTTGTCTTCTGTACATTTATACTTTACATAAAATTATCACAGTGTGCATATATAGTACACATGTGAGTAGATAGACAGATATAGAAGATATCATAATACATTATTATATCAGAAAAATTGCTTTAAAGTGCTCCATGGCTTTTGGTCCTTTTCCATAATAGATTAACATGGCTACCCATGTGGATGTCTTTCATTGTAATATTTTTCTCATTTTATCAATCTGTATATCCACAGGTGGTGTGAGCAGGGAGGTTTTGCACTGCAAACTAATGTGAAGTCACACACTCCACCCCAGATCATGAAGTGCTTCTGTGAACATCTCTTGACTGAGGATACCACATTATACATTTGAGAAAACAGACCTGATCTATAAATGTTTATGCTAAAATAAATTTATTAGATGTCACAAAGTTCCTTTTCTGTAGGACTCTGAGCTACAGAGAACCATAGTTCTCACAGAGAAAGGGGTGGTGTCAGATATATAAATTACAAAAGCTGAGTTATTTGCATTCTGTCTTGTATAACATTGCAAAGCACAGCCATCTCCACACATGTAACATGCATAAGGCACTGCTTTACACTCATGCATTGTGTTAGGAAAACAAATGACAGGCCATTCTCAATTTATAAACCAACCCAGAATTCAGGAATTGCAATGGTTATTTTCTAGTAGAGTGTGGCAGCTATCATTCACCAGAGTGTTCGCAAAGGGCATACATCCCCAAATCAGGTAAATGAAATCTAGGAAAGGGCTTTATCTAGTGGAGGGTTGATACAAGGCAGAAACAATGGCAATTGCATCAATAATATATGGAGAATCCAGTACTGAATTTCATAGTTAAATCATCTGAGACTGGAATTTGTCACCAAAAAAACCACCCCATTTTATTTCAGTATTGCTTTATATTTATTTAGTTATTCATTTTCTTCATATAGAGAGAATTACGGTAGTCTATTTTTGAGATTACCAATGTATGAATCATTGTCACTAGACATTTCTTATTCAGATAGGAGCATAACTGGGCACTCAACCAGAGTTAGTAAAGGCAGTCTCAGCCACAACCAGTATTTGAACCTTCACAACGAGTGCCAAGTCCAGGAGTATCCCCGACTGCGGACCCAATCCTTTAGGGGGAGTGTAACCCATCAAGGTTAGGTTAGCTGCCATCTAACCAGTCTGACAATCCTCCTAACAGTAGGATCTCTGTCTAGTCTGGATTCAGTTTCAGTTTATCGGCCCTCATTCAGTCCATTATCAACACTAGGCAGAACTCAAGGACGTGTGCAGCATCTCCTTCAGATGAAGCAAAGGAGAGATAGAACTGTATGTCATCAGTGTACTTGTGACAGCACATCCCAAATCTCCATATGACTTCTCCCAGCAGTTTCATATAGATGTTAAAAAGCAGTGCAATCATATGCCCATTTATTTTAATGATGTTCACTCCCAGTAAGAGTGTCTACGATTACAGGCTTAATAACAGTAAATGATGAGTTTGATGCCCTGAGATGGCATTGCTCTGTGATATATGATTATCTCTCCTTCTTAGTTGCACACCTCAGGGTAGCTAGTGGTTTGACAGTTCAAGGGAAGCTGTGAGCCATGGTGTCAGGAGATTAAACTCTGTTACAAGTCTGGACATCTAGCAGGGTCTACTAAGGCAGAATGGTCAAAGCTGAGACATCACATTCAGATGCACCTGTCATCTTCAGGATGAACAGTCACATCAGCAGAAGAGAATGAGAGTTCTAGTGGTCATAGGAGTAGATAAACTCCTGAAGGGCAGTTATTTTCTTGAAATCATGGAGGGTGGGTGAAATGCCGGTTGATTGGAGGAGGGCCAATATTGTTCCTATCTTCAAAAAGGGTAAAAAGCAGGATCTGGGAACTATAGACCAGTCAGCCTGATATCAATTCCAGGGAAAATTCTGGAGCAGATTATAAAATTAAAGTGGATTTAAACAGACATTTTCAGTTACATAGCTACCAGATGTTGTATTCTAGAAATAATAAAATCAGATGAAATTGCAGCTCTAATACTGACGGAACGTATAGCACAAACGGTTGGGACTATAATGCAAAGTCTGACGAAGTAATATTGATTAGACGACTGAGAAGACCTATCTATATAACCTTCATTCAATACTCCCTAGTACCAAAAATGACTAAATTGAGGCTATAATACTTTGGGTACATTGTGAGATCAAAATTCACCAGAAAAGACAATAACTGAACATTAACTGAATTTGAACAATGTTGTATTCAAAAAGATAAAAATAAAAAGAGAGGACTAACCTCACTAATATATAAAAACATTATTGAGAAAGAATATGGAAAAGGTGGAGGATCTAAAACAGTGTGGGAAACAAATTTAAATATTAATATACCTGAGGAAATTTGGACAGGAATTTGGAAAAAATACCCATATAAATCTATATCAGCAAGTG